GTGTGGAGATGATTTCTGCATCCAGGCAGATCTCTCTTTATCTCGTGTGTGTGTGTGTGTGTGTGTGTGTACATTTGCACATGTATGCATGTCAGTTCCAGCTACAGATTTTTCCTCCCACTCTTCCAAGTCAACAGATTTTTGGCTGTTCTTTTCCGGCATGATGGCATAATGATCCAGTCTCACTTCAGAATCATTGATTCCTGGCTCAGCAGCTCCCCAACTCCTACATTCTGTAACTTAAATCAGTATTTGCAATTTGAAGTGACCGATCTCTGCCACTTAATACCAATAGAAGATAGCAGAAAAGATGAAAAGGAGAATAGTAATGCAGCCATACTACGTGAGTAAATATCCTTAGATGTAAGACAGTACGTAAGAATGAAGTGTTCAGCAGTGTGATGGCATGAGGGAAAGGCCTGTCTTTGTGTCTAATTCTTTTGACATGCAATGCCTTATAGCAGCATCCTGAGGGGAGGAGTTGAAACAATTTATGTCCAGGATGTGAGATGTCTGTAAATATTTTTCTCAGACCTCTTTCTGACCTGTGCTTTGTATGGCCCAAAATCACTCAATGGCTGTTCCTCCTATAGTTAAGATACAACACAGTCTCTCCAGGGTGTTCTAAATGGAAGAAACCTATTAGAATATAGATAACTTAGCTTGGCATATGCTCTCTGTGCTGTGTATCAGAGCAAGAATCCTCTTCTGAGTCAGAAGGTTTGAATTTTTAAAGGACATAGGGAAGTAATGGTCAGTCTCTCTGAAGATACCACGTGGAAGAGTAGCTTTGTTGTCTGCAAATATCTTTCGCTGTTGGCCTCATTTATACTTCTCATCAACCCTCCTACTGTTTTCAGGGAGAGAATACAATTGTTCCAATTTGCACTCATGCCTTTTTTTGGGGGGGGGGCACTCATTGCTAAATTTGTGTTGTCATGCAAGCTATAAACAAATATTTGTTGAGACTTATACCTTATCATACGATTACAAAACAGCCCAGAGACCCAGTTTGTATCCATCTTTCAGATCACTTTTGGGAAGAGAAGGAATGTGTCTAGGCAGATATATAAGAGGTGCTGCTTCCCCAATCATTTTATAGAAATGTTCTGATAAAATTGTGCCTAGCATATCTTCCCTTCACAGCACTGGGTTCAATGAAGCAGCAGCAATGGCAGAGAAAAGCAACCAACTATATACACACTGATTGCTTCTGATACGATCCAAAGGAGGCAAATTTAGCAAGAAAAGCAGGGAACTATTGGACAAAAAGCATGAGTGAAAGACACAGGTGAGGACTACATTATGTTAAGGTGAGTTTGCAGATGTAGACCAAATCCATGAAACCATGGAGATGGAGATGGATGGAAAACAGAAATGGCCACTGCTGGAAAACAAAGCAATTAGATGTGTGTGCATGTGTCCTCTCCACCTTGTTCCTGCCTGTTTTGCTCCTTTATGACTGAAGGAACAGGCACCGGCTGTGGATCTCTCTACTTTTAAAAGATGGCTTTGGAAATGGGAAGCAGTCAGCCAGGACACCAATAAGGAGGCAGCAGAACAAATCACACAAAACCCTTCAAGGTGAGATTTACAAGGGCCGTGTTGATGCTTCACTCTTTACATTTTATAGTCACAAAACAGTGTAGCTGAGATTACTCTGACATTTTTGAAACAAAAACAAGTAGATGCCTGGTTGCCTACCAGGGGGATAGCAAAGAATTTTTAAATTGCCCTTTTTTCACCAGTCACGAATCACTCTTTACTAAGTTTGGCATGTTCTGAGGTTTACCGAGTTTTGTACATGTACTGAGTTTTGGGAACTTGAAATTTTTAATTTTTATTTTATTAGCAACTGAAAAGGATACCATTAAAAACAAAATTTTCATTACTATGGAACTATGCTACTGCAGCTCTCTAATGAACCAAAAGTCCAATATCTATTTATCCCTCCATCTATTGTCTTTATCTCTGTAAATCGTAATTCTCCCCCAAAAATGAAAAGCTAGGCTTGACTTCTATTAAATTCATGACCATGTTTGTGTACTTCCAAGGTATTTTCCTAGATTATTATATAGCTCTGATATTTCCTAAGGTTACCTCATTCAGATATTTATTTGGCCAACCCTTCTTAGCTTTCAAGCCCAAACAAAGTCAGCCAGAATCTGCCACTTGCTAATTCTTCAGCAATCTCCCTTAAATAGAAACCAAATCTACCCAAGGACATACCTCTACCCACCAACCCACATATGTGTATGCATATGTATATGCGTGTATAGATATGATAGCCTTGTTATGATATGATAGCCTTTCCTCTCTTTTTGTCCTTCTGGTTATAAGGCAAGGCTTAAAGGACTCAAGATTGATCTGCAATATCACAAGGGTGTTCTTTCCATTGTTAAAGTACAGGCTCTGCATACATCATGCAATAGAAGCAGATATAGAAGAAGATAAAAAATGGAAATGGGGTAGAAAAGGGAGAATAAGCCAATAGGAGAAGTGAAGGACAATAAGGGAATAAGAAAAAAAAAAGTAAGAACAGAGAATAAACCTGCAATCACAATTATCACTAAAATACTAATGGGCAAATTTATCCCTTATCTGTATTCATGACACTTAAGTCTTGTATATTTTCATCTGAATAAATTCTTGGTGATCAAGCTTCACAGACTGATAAACATAATTTTCATAATGAATCGGGGCAAAGATGAAATCAAGCAGCATATGCTCACAAATAATTATCTGAGAAAAAAAAAACTACAAGACTTCCTTTTCAAAGGCCGAGAGGCTTCCACATTTCTTTGAGAAATTTCTCTATAGCACATTGGCACAATTTGCACAACCAAACACTATACATGGTACCAATATGTAACTTTTTTTTCCTAAATATCTACGAAGTATTTCAAACATATTAAAGAGGTGTAATGGGAACTGGCAGATTAACCTATTTTTTAAAATATAGAATATTATAATACAAGAGATAAAATTATATTTACTGTACACAGTAAATGGCTTCTTCTATATCAACTGTTTAAAATAAATGTTTTATCCCACCTTTATTATTTTTATAAATAACTCAAGGCAGCATACTAGGAGATAACCAGGTTGAGCCCAAGGGAGGAGGGGTCAAATGCATCATCAGTCTGGAGTCCCTTCGTGCCCAGAAGAGATCTAAGTCCAGCCCATCTTGAATTCCTGTGACTTTTATCTATTGCCAATTTGCTTGGGCCATTAACAGTTCATATTCTTGGAGAGAGCTTAAGTTTGCAATAAATCTTTATATTCATTTGAACTGCCTGGATCTCCTGATTCCCCTGGCACTTGACATAAACATTTGTATACCATTTCTTTTAACAATTGCAGAGGCATGCAAGTGGGTGGCGGAAGAAGAAAAGGGCTGTAGAAGAAAAAAGAAAAATGACCCCATATGGCCTGCCCAATTAATTTCTTCTATAATTTCTGTTTACAACATGCACAAGCATGACTGAATGCTTAAATTACAATAGAAGACAGCTTTAAATTGCTTGCCTGAATAATTCTGAATATCAGTCTTGGAGAAAAGATACTGATATACTATTGAGACATATATATGGCCATGTGGGACAATAGACAGAAAAGCTAAAATAGCAAAATCAGCACATGCCAATAAAATCTATAGGACAAACATTTGAACAGTTATATTGGAATTCGATCCAACCAACCATGGCATTCCACATTAATCTTTACATATGTCATGGACACAGAGTGTAATGTGTAAAAACAAAATGGTCCTGTAATACAAATAGTCCTCACTTACCATCACTCATTCAGTAGCTGTTCAAATTCCTGACCGTGTTGAAAAAAATAGTTTTACAGCCAATTAACGGCCATCTATGACTTTTGCAGTATCCCTCAGTCAAGTAATCCCCATTAGAGTAAGAACATGTTGTCCCGTGCCTGACCTGTGTTGTTTTTTTCTTTTCTCCAGCCTTACAGAGCAGAAGGATCTAATTACATTTTTACTTCCCTTAGATGAAATAGGAACAAAATTTGATTATTCCTCAGAACTTAAATTAGACCTGCACAATTTGTGGCTCACCAACTTGAATACAATAGAATCAACCATCCATGTGGTGACTGCTAAATGCTTGAGAACATCCTCATTTTACACCTCTGGTTAGATAATAGATCACAAAGCTTATCAAATCCTTGATGGGCTTTCATATGTGACTTGTTGGTTTCATTCAGTGTGGCAAATGCACTGAACCCATTCCGGTTGCTGCACGAGCTGAGAATATATTAAACACAAAACAATCACAGTCACTGACAGAAGGGAGTCTCCAGTTACTCATCTTGACATCTGATGGATGACACAGGGTTCCAGCTGAGAACAATCATACTAAGCAGATCAGAATGCATGAATCAGACTTTTAAAAGAAAGTCTACCATCTCAAGAGCAGAAACACACACAAACAAACACACACGTTATGTATAGATGCCTTAAAAGAAATAAATAATAAAAAACTAAGAACACTTAAATTGTTTCTTGACCATGTTTTAGATCATCTTCTTTTCACAATGACTTAACAAAAAAAGCAATACCAAAAGAGGAATACATTAAAGATAAACAACTTAAAATAAATTCAGTTCCAATAAAATACTATTTGAAAGTACACATTGGCAAAAAGATACTGTTCAAATTTTCCATTAAAAACCAGGAAGAATATTTTAATCCCATATTCCTTAAAAACGACCATAGATGAGGACAACTATATGACTTTCAGCAGGAAAGACCTTTTTTTAATAACTACCAACTTCACCAATTTGGCAGTTGGATTACAGATAGGGACATACATTTCTTCAGGTTTTCCCCCAGACCAGGGGTAGGCAACCTTGGCTCTTTTATAACTCGTGGACTTCAACTCCCAGAATTCCTGAGCCAGCCATGCTGGCTCAAGAATTCTGGGAATTAAAGTCCATGAGTCATAAAAGAGCCAAGGTTGCCTACCCCAGCCCTAGACAATGACTTTATCACCTAATGATAAGATCGCCATAGATCAAACTATAATCAGTGGAAATGTTTTACTTTGAAATACAATTAATACCCCTGGAATAGACTTTGTCGGGTAATGTGTTGCCAAACTTTATTTTTATTTCCCCAATAGTCACATCTTCAGATTTGTGCATCTTATTATAATGCTGACACTGGCACTTGTGTGATTAAGTGCTGAAAATTACAGATTCATTCCAATTTAGCATGGTCTTTATTGCTCTTAATTAAGGAGTGAAACATGAAAACTGTGATGACATTTTAATTATCAAAATGCAATACTATTTGCATATTTTCTTTAAAAAAATATACATCTGCTGGATTCAGTGTCTGGCTCCATTACAAACAACTGATTGTGCTGAATCTAGGTTTTCTTGGCTTCAGCCCTGAAATTCATTACCTCTAGTTAACTAACAAATATAAGTTAAAAGAAAAGAATATTCTAGACCAAGGTTACAGAATCATAACACCTACTGTGGAAAATCTATGTTATTTTTACTTTGCTATTTATTAATTATCATTATGACAGTGTATACCCTTGCACAAAAGTGACAGCTTTTTCAGAAATTAATACTATTAATAATATTAATATGCTTTTACAATACATCTACTTAAGGTATGGGGACAATAGAAATCATGGAATACATAATTGCAACACTACTATTCAATAGCTTGTACTTGTGCAAACAGCAAAGAAATCAGACATGCAAAGACATGTTAGAAACAGAAGCTGTATTGAACAGCCCTCTCTCTATATATATATGAATAGAAAAAAAATCACATACTAAAATATAATTTTTTGTATATACTGTGGGAAAGAAATCAAACCTTCCCTGCCATTCAATCTTCCCTTGTTCCTCATGTTCCAATTTCATAGCCATTTCCAGGGCAAAAGATGAGAAATTATACTAAAACAAAAAATAACAAACTTAACACAGAGGTTGAAATTGGCTAAAGGCCAATATCCATGCAGATTGACATATAGAAATACCCATTCGATTCCATTCTATTCATACATCTCAGAATCCTGGAAGAAACCAATTAGATCAATGGAGAAAAAGGTACGCAAAAGTATTAGAATATTCCTTTAAAGTGGAGGACATATACCAATCTTCCTTAATTTTTTAAAGCAAAAATAATTAAGTGAACAGCAGGTCTCAAGTGCAGGTGCGTAAGTCACTCAGATTAGAAAAGTAGACTTCTGAGAGCATATTCCCTGTCCCTAAAAAACATCTTATATCACTGAACCTAGAACAAGAAATGGTTCTGTACAGGCTCAGATAGGCAGACAATATCTAATTCTTTCTCACCGTTGGACTTTCATCTGCTCTGATTACATCGAAGCTTAAGAGAAGGAAGCCGAAAGTAATTTTTGGCAAGGATGGGAAAAGATAAGACCAAAGCAGGATTTTTCTATTCTCAGACCAGCGCTCCAAGATTATCAAGCCTGTACATTCTCTCCCCTGTAGTACAGGTAGTTCTTGACTTACAACTGATCACCTGGTTAAATTTGCAATGTTCAAATTTACAATGAATTTCTCCAGGGGTATTTATGACACCATTCCAAAGTTCCAATGGCTGTCCCCCCCCCCCCGAAGCCATGTGACTGCATGTCGGGTGCTTGGCAACCAGCCCACGCTTATGGCCATTTGCAGCATTTTGTGATCACATAACTGTGTTTACATTTTTGCTGACAAAAATCTGTTTTTCAACAAAACTGGCCCATAGCAAACAATTGGTTCACTTAATGCAGGCATGTCAAACTCACAACATCATGTGATGTCGCCCAACATATCGGGCCGGTTTTGCCATTGCCGGCAAAGGGGTGGGTGCGGCTTCCACGTGATGCGTCGGGCCGGCAGTTTAACACCCCTGACTTAATGACTGTGGCATTCATTTAACAACTGCTGCAAAAAAAAAATCATAAAATTAGGTTGGTCACGTAGGTGACCTGCTTTACACCTGTCACAACTTACAATTGTGATGGGCAGGTTCCATTACAGTCATAAGTTAAGGACTACCCCTATACACCATGTACTGGTAATGTGTTTGGTCAAGCAACAATAAAATGGTGTTTTTATGGTTAATGCTGTACTCCAAGTTGCATTTCTAACCATGTTAAAGTGTTTTAATTGTCTGGAAAGTTCTGTTCTGAAATTCTAATCACTAATGAAAAAAATTGATTGACCCACATCTGTGCATATACAAGCAAACTGAGTCAACCAATTCCAAGCTGCTGAGAGCCCTTATAAATCTGAAACAGACTCTGAATGTTGATTATGAATAGATACGTTTAACATAGCAGCATTGATTTCAGCCTAGTTTTAAAGGCCTCAAGCATAGTGGAGAATGGTTTGAGCACGTATAAGATCCATTTTCTCGAATAATTCCTTGCTTTATTGAGCAGCTCTTGGCTTGCCATGATAGCCATACATGCATTATTAAAAAGAGAAAACCTTTTAACGAAACAGAAAACATGAGAAACAGATTTGCATTTCCTTATTTAAAGGTGGGAGGAAATACATGTAGAAATATTTGTCTTGAAAGAGAAATGTAAAACATTTCACACAATAAGGAAAAATAAACAAGTTACCCATGTGTCTAATCAAGTTGGGTTCAGAGGCTCAGTGTTGATGGGAATCTATAAGAATCCACGTTCATCCTTCAAACAATTCCCTGTCTTTAAGAATGGACTAAAGAGGCTTTCCAGATTCAGTGCAACTTTAAACATAAATTTATATTCTGCGAAGTACAATAAGTGTGCTATTTGACTTTGCCATTACACTGCATCAGTTTTTCCCAGCCATACCAACTCATCTGAGGTTTGATCTAAAGGGGAAAAAATGGTACTTGGGAAGGCAGCTGAATTTTAAAAGGAAATGCTTGCTTACATGTAAACTACCTGGCTTTAATTTAGAGTCATTCTAAAGTTCAAACAACGTTACGTTAATTTTGTTACGTTAACAATGCTATTTTAATTTTCACATTAATGCTATGTTATGTTAACCTTGCCGTTCCTTGAATTTCATTTGTTCACTTGAAACTAAAATGTAAGAAACCCCTTCCCCCCCCCCAGTATGGTTAAAAAAAAATTGTACATGTTGAGAAGTTTAAGCTTTCCTTCTTTAGCTATTTCTCCCTTCTGTGTTGTGAACTGTACCAGGCACCCACAGATTTACTTTTAATTAATTTGTTTTTTTTTTAAAAAGCAGTAATTTGAAATTTGAATGATGTATAACTTTATTCTTAGCAACAACTGTGTAGTTTTTGCAACTACGACAGCTGTGGTCCATTTATGTGGACAGTAAATTATAAATGCTTCCACAATTGCACTGATGCACTGAATTCATTTGCTGCATATTCCTAGATAAGAAGGAATTATATAATAACTCTATTTATACTTTATACAATAGGATACTTGAGCACTCCCTTATTACAGGTAGCCCCAGCTTATAGCCATTTGTTCAATGACTGTTTGAAGTTACCATGGCATTGAAAAGAGTGACTTATGACCATTTTCACACTTATGACTGTTGTAACATCTCTACGGTCACAGGGAAAAACGTCAAAATTCGGACACTTGGCAACTGGTTCATATTTATGACAGTTGCAGTATCCTAGGATCATGTGATCAATCACCTTTTGCAACCTTCTGTCAAGCAAGTAAAATCAATGAGGAAGTCAGATTAACTTAACAAGCATGTTACTAACTTAACTGCAGTGATTCACTTAACAACTGTAGCAAGAAAGGTTGTAAAATGGGTCAAAAGTTGCTTAACAAATGTCTTGCTTAGCAACGGAAATGGGCTCATTTGCAGTCATAAGTCAAGGATTACCTTCTATACTATTGAAAAAGTGAAAAGGGTTAGGAGCAGTTGACTTCTAACATTGACTCTCAAATTCTATAAGCCCTTATATGATCTAGCTCTAACCATAGATCACACTTGTGGAAATGTACATGAGGGAAAGGCTACTGCTATGGGAGATAAAATCTGTATGTAAGGGTCTAGAAAATAATTTTGTTTTAAATGTAAGATGGGGATCAAACAAACATTTCAGCTTTGTTTCTAAATGAGACATCAATATATCTGTTTGGGACTCCAGGAATGTCAAACAACTCCCATTTTAATGCATTCAGTCATAAATAAGAGCTAGAGTAGCCTTGCCTGGTTTCCAAGATTTTGTAAACTAGCCTTTTTCCTGACATTAAATGTGATTCATGAGGCTCTGTATGAATCTAGTTCATCAGCTGTATGCTGCTGTTAGGAGCTTTACATAGTACTTAAGCAGGAGGTCACCGGAAAAGGTAACCCACTCTCTTTGCCCTGAACACCAACTAAACTCTGTCTACCCAAGAGAAAAGAACAATCTCTCTTTTACACACATCTGTTTTCAAGATGCGACTCGGAGACTGTTCATTGTCTCATGGTTTGTTTGTTTTTTAACAATTAAACAAATGGGCACATTAAGGATAGAACTTTGGGGAGGTTTTTTTGGTTAGAGTTGTCCTTTTTATTAGTTTATAATATAAAATGAAAAAATACAAAAACAAATAATAGGAAAAATAGGGGGGAAGTGTAGAAAAGAAGGGAAAAAGAAAGAAAGGGTGCTGACTTTCGACTTCCTTGGGTGCAGTAGAATAAAGTAACATCAAATCTCAACTTTTTACTTTTACATAATTGTATAAACTAGCCATTTCTATAACAACAAATCTATCTAATTGGTAAAACCCAAAATCAAAGTTTCATTTTTTTCCACCTCAAGCACAAAGTCTAGAAGTGGTTTCCAAGTAGAAACAAAAGTAATTGTGTTTTTTTCCTTTAATCAAAGCAGTCAATTTAGCCATCTCTGCTAATTCCATCAACTTTTGCAACCATCTGTCCATTGTAGGAATTGAAGTATCCTTCCATTTTTGTGCATAAAGTAATCTTGCTGCCATCAACATAACGTAATATAACGTAATGTAACATAACATCAAAAAGTAGAATTTTAAGGGTGTGTCTGTCCTCTTTCATGCATATTATACTGCTTTTTAATAAACACTGGACCTACTCAAGCTTTCACTTACTTGGATTGTGTTTGCACAAAATTGGAAAGTACTGGAAGCCCCCCCAGAGGGAGAAGTGATTGGGAAAATACTGTAATGTGCAGAAATGAATAGACTAACAATGACAATTAAAGATAAGACAGAGTCAGACTACTATGAAATCTGGGGAACTTTTTATGATTGGCTGGAAAGAGAATATGGTTAAAAGATAGTTAACATCAATTTAGATGGAAGAAGAAGGAGCAGATAAGGAGGGAGAGCCAGGCGACACAGTATTGAATAACTGGAGGTTGTATAAATATTTATAGAAGTATATACCGAAAAGGTTAGATAAATAGAAGTATTAATGTAAGAGAAAATTAATCTTATTGTATATAATACAGATAGGGAAATTTGGAGAGAGGAGTTGCTTGGACATTACCCCTGAATTGTATCTGAAGAGGGATGAGAGGGAAGAAAGGAGAGAAGAGAGAAAAGAGTAAAGGAGGGGAGAAGGAAGTAGGAAGGTTGGAGGAGAAGGGGAGAAAGGGGAGGAGAGTGGTGAAGGAAAGAGGAGAGGAAGAAGAGGGAAGTAGGGAAGAAAGGGAGAAAGAAGGTAGAGAAGAAAGAGTGTGGATACAGTGAAAGGGGAAATGGGCGAGCAACACCAAAAGTCATGTGTATGTATTTATTTCATTTTATCAAAAGTATCTTATATATGAATGTAAAAAGAATGTATGTTAACATCTGATAAATATCACGGTATATGTATGGGGGAGTTTGGAAAAATAAAAAATTATTTTTTCAAAAAAGCTTTCACTTACTTGACAGCAGGCATTTATTCAACATTTATCTAAATGAAGTATGTCATCATTTGCAGGA